ACGTCATGCTTGGTGCCGACCAAGGGAGTGCCCAGCTAGCGCTTTGTCTTGACGAGGCTTGTCACCGGGTGGACCCCCTGGTCTCTGTAGGGGTTCCTAGTGGTGTGCTTGTGGCCTTGATGTTGGTCGGCTCCCACTATGAGGGCATAGATTATGATGCCATGGGGCAAGGATACTCATCGAGGAAGTCCGACGCTGAGATCCTTGCCATTGGCAATTCTGTCACTCGTGGCGCAGAGGTCCTCGCAAGTAAGGTGCCGGCTGCCACTGTTTGTCTCCAGTTTTAGGCTTCCGATGTATAGGAGTTTCTAGCATAACTGGCCAGGACTTTGTGTGTATGTCAGTTTTGTAATGAATATGTTTGGGTTCAGTGCACATGATGGCGCGTAATTGGCGCATTCGTTTGTCAATTTGCCGCCTTTTCGCTTTTCTTTTCATTCGAGTTGGAATGTGCTTTGTCTATCCCAGCCTTGTGCTCGTGGGTGCGCATTTTAACCTAGGGACTAGCCCAAGGGGCTAAAAGGCGCGCGATCCATAGGAGCGATGAGGCGTCGAGGGTGAATTGCACATCTGGCACGATGTGAGAAGAAAGCGATCGAGTAGTGAAAGATTTCTCTCCTTTCGCTCCTTTAGCTTTGATCGAGCGAGTTCCCCATTTCCTTTCAGTCCCATGCGAGTAGGAGGTCGAGGTGTGGGTCACTGGTTCGTCATGACGAGAGGCGCAATTGGAAGGGGTTCGGTCGCTGGGACGATGACAAACAGTGCTACGCCGTAGGTCATGCATATGTACCTATGTGTGTAGCCCCGCGAGTGAGTCATGTTTGGCTGTGAGCACGAGTTGGATCAGGTCACTTGGGGGTTAAGCGCTACTAGAACATAATGTATGGGCATCATGCTGTTTGGTTTGCTCTATGGGTCGGCCCTGAGTTTCTGCAGCTATTGGCAGGCTCGTATGTGTATGTGGACGTGTTTAGGTAGAGAGGCTAAGGACAAAGCATATGTAACTAACTGATGTGTTGGAAGCTATCATGAGACTGGTTATCGTTGCTCAGGGTGCATCGATCCCCCGAGCGTCTGCTCGTAACGGAGTTGTTGCGGTCCGTGGGCTGCGAGCTGGTGAAGACGCTTCTTTATCACTCAAAACGGTCGTAACCAGCGTGGATTGACCTCTCGGCTGGCTTTGAGTCGACCTTTGCTAGTTTGACGTCCTTGGCGGCCTTGCGAGCCCCCAGAGGGTGACTCCTTTGAGTCCGGCCTGTTGTGGCTTCTGGCCAGGAGGGCTCATGCGTTCAAATGCTTGAGCCTTCATGGCGCGATGGCATCGCCATCGTCGTGTCCCTACCTCTAGGCACGGTTGCCGCTCTTGACAAAGGGCTGGCATGTCATGTCGCTATGGGAGTGGATTCTGAGCGTGACGCGGTTCGGTCCGCTCGACATGGCATGCGGTGCGCTTAGGGAGCCCGCTTCCTCATATGCACGCCTCCGAGTGACAGCCGACAGTCTGTTGAGGCGCGATGGGCGGTTCATCCACCAACCATGGCTGGGCTCTGGTTCCGGGCTTGGCCTTTCAAGGCGTGGCACCGGGTAGCCATCTGACCATTAATGACGTCGCTGCGTGGCAGCGGGTAGTTTCATCGTTCGTTTGTGCCTTGACACGCGGCGCTCCGCTGGTTACGGAGACGCTGCTTGAGGCGTGTCTCCACCACTGGGTCCAGGCTTCCCACGCGGTTGACCTGGATGGGCGCTGACCCATTAGTGTGGATAACCTCGTGGTTCCCCAAAATGATGTGGTCGGTTGAGGCCATTCCCTGGGTGAGTTCGACACAAGCCATGGACTTTCGGCCTCCTGGGTGGAGGACTTGGTCATGACTAGTGATGAGAGAGGGTACTGGCCCCCTATGTTGGTGAACTCTGGGATGCTGCCACTGAGGGTAGTTCCGAGAGCGTGTTCGTCGTAGACCACAGGGCCTAGATCCCTGGAGTGGAAGACTGGGATGCGGCCAAAGGCGGATGCGGGCGCTGGCCCTCTAATGCTGGTGAACTCATAGTTTTCACGGCGGATGTGGCCACCGTGGGACATTCCGCCAGCAGGTCCACCAATGGTGTGAGGAGCCATCACTTCCTGCTCAACAATCGAGAGTGCGCGGCTGTCCCCTACTTGGCGCGCCAACTATCGATGTTTTATAAACCGGACTAGTGAATTTATAGATTGCCACGCTGCTCTAGGAAGATGATGGTAGCATCCAAAAGACACGAGGAATTGTACTGGTTCAGGCCAGATCTCGACATCCAGTCTCAGAGATGATCAAGTGCGTGTTCCTCGCTTGAATGATCTAAAGTTCTTACAATGAGGGTGCAAGAATGGTGGAAGAGGAAGAAGAGCTAGAGCTAGGAGATGGACTGCCTAGAGGGAAGCTCCAGGAGCCTTGCTACGATGGAGAATGAGTAAAATGGTAGAGGATGTCTGGAGATGGTGCCCTAGCTGCCCTTATATAGAGTTTGGGGCCAAAGCATATACAAGCAGTAGGTTTTCCCAACCAAAGGGTCGTGAGCCTGAGGGAGGGCCTAGCTATCTTAGCTTGCAAGCTACGCCGTCTTGAGGTACATGTTCGTGCATGGTATCGTCATGGTCTTGTGGCCATGTCACGGCATGGTGCGGCGTGGTGCTACTATATCGGCCATGGCAGCACTGTATGCACGCTGGTGGATCGCCAGTCGTCCTGTGTGATGTGGTCTCCGCCATGGTCTTCGTCATCGTCTCCTGGTTTCCTGGGGCGCCGTACTAGAGTTGGTAGTCGCCCCTGGGTTGTCGGTCGCCTGGTTGGCTTGTGGAGCTAAGGGTCATGATCCCGATTGTTGGGGTCATGGCTCCTGTCGGTCTGGTTGGATGGCCTCTAAGTCAAGACCTTCGTCGTGGATCCCATCCTGTAGTGGGTGGGATCGTACATGTGTCTTGTTGGGCCGTATTTGGCCGATGGTTATTGTACCGGTCGTCACCGCCGTGCGGTGTTGTCTTGTCTGAACTGTGCGGCGCAGGGGTGGCGTCTGACCGGGCCGAGGTGACTGCTGTCCCCCTCGGTCCTTGTGGGGTCAGTGCGGCATGCTTGTTCTTGTCAGAGCAGGCACGCCTGGCTGTGCTCGACCTCTCCCCGTTCCTCCCAGGGGTTGGGACGGCGGAGAGGTCATGAGTTTCTTGCGCATTGTGTGGCTAAGAAGAGGTCGTGGCCGACCCTGGCCTTAGCGTCGGGCCTGTTCTACTTGGCTTAGCTGGGCCTCGGTTGTTCGGGGCTTCGCTAGCTGAGATATTGCGGGCCGCGTGGCCTACTAACTAATCGATGCCTTGAGATACCCCGGGGTTATGACCCCGACACCACCTAAATGAAAGAATTTGAAGCATGAGAAATTTGTTTACCTCCGTGAACAGGCTTAAAGTTGTTGCATCCAAAATATTTAATTACCTTTTTTCCATTAACCATCTTGTTCTTGAACTGAGTATGCATTTCATGAAGAGAGCAAAAAGCCTTTATATCTGGATTCACATTTGATTAAACAAAGCAATCTTTGAAACACCATTAGGAGTCAAATGGTGCAAAATTTCCTATCAAATCTTGTATAGGAAAACAAAGACCAACAGTAAAATAATCTTTGAACACAACACATTCATCGTGCTCTGGTAGCGGAACTGTCTCATCTTTTGGCAACCTAACAAGATCCTTCTCCAAGGTCCTCTTATTATCAATAAGTGACTGCAAAATCGCCTCAGTCGCCAAAGTTTTACCAAATCTTAATGACTTGGTATCATCTTCAAGAAGCTCTGACTCAAATGAGGGACCAACCAAACAAAAGCAAAATAAAACTCACTCTTAAAATAGACAAAGAGGCAAGAAGACTTTGCGAAAATCACGTGGCTTAAAAAGGCTTCGCTTCAGTAAAAAAAACTAGTAGCGCCTTGTGTCTTCAGCAAAGCGATAAAAAAGGGACAACAGGCATAGTATATATATAGGCAGTTTTGGTCAAACACGACCGTTCAGCTTCCGCCGGTCAAATTAGATCCTTAAAATTCAAAAGACAATAAATGTTCACTTCCTAACGGTTATAAGGCCAACTCCGAAGTTCGGGGATAGCATTTTACCTTCGTTCTAAATGAGAATTTCGTGGGATTTAGACCTTTGAAGTAGAACTTCGGCCACGATGTGCTACTGTTGGGGATTTATCCTCAGGTAAACACAGCCCCCGAAAACTTCGGAATTGATTAATAACGAAGCCAAACAGTCCATGTTGCCAAGGCAAAAAAGAGGGCGAAGACATCTTATGTACTTCGCCATCAGGGCGAAGTCAAGGAAAAACAAGACGAAGTTGTCTTGTTCTGAAGGCACGAAGACAAACTATCGATGATAGACTTCAAGATCATTTCAGGATAGAAAGAGTATGAAGTCGAACATGTAATGACCAATTTTTCCCTGGTAATTATAGGTGTTGTATTTCTTCGTAATATAGGTATTATAGTAAGTGTGTAGGAACTACAAAGATTAGGATCGGTATAAATACACTCTCTGACATGCATTGTTCAATATGAAATGAATACTCAATTGAGTTGATTTATTCCTCTGGTGGTGTTTGGTTCAAAGTTATCTTTGCCCAACAGCGGGATCAGGTTTCCCAAAATGGAACGTGCGGTCAGATGGTGGTGGTGGGTTTCCTGCATGCCATGTTATAGTAAAATTCTTCATATTTTTAGGTGTAACAGATAATTTGTATCTCAGCTTTTTGATAATGTATATATACATCATTTATAGATTTCTCGCCCAAAAAAAACATCATTTGCAGATGCACGCTGTTCATTGACTTGCTCTCCAATTTTCGCCTGTTCGGTTGGCTGGTTCGTTTCGATGCTGGTTCGTGAAGAAGTACTGCTGGCTTTTTTGTGTGAGAGAAAAATACTATTCTAGCTAGAAATTTACGATCGTTTACGACGAAATACGGCCAAAGGCTGTTTGGTCATGCCGTGCTGGGCTCCGTGGGCCGCGCGATTCGAGGTTTCCTATCGCACGGAGGACGGGACGGATATACGGATTCTTCTTCACTTCTCCCTCCTTGTTTTTTTTGGACGGAAAAAGGAAAAGGAAACGAAACTGGCCAGGCGCTACGCCACAACGCGGCCGCGGCCGAGGCCACGCCTCGCCGCGCGCCGCCTCTCCGCCGCCGCGGCTCCATGCCCCCTCGAACCACCGCATCCTCCCGTGCCCCTGCCTCCTGATCCACATGCCTCGTCACCCTTCCACCCCCTCGCAACCCACCCGCACCCGGCCATCGCAGCGTTCCCGCACACCGGCTTCTCCCACCTCGCCAACCACCCGCTCCTCGCCCGCGCCGTCCACGCCCTCGCCATCCGCCGCGCTCTCCCGCTCAGTGCCTTCCACCGCAACACCCTTCTCGCCTTCTATTTCCGTCAAGGCTCCTCCCCTGCTGCAGCCCTCCACCTGTTCGATGAGATGCCGCACCGGACGTCTTCCTCCTGGTACACCGCCGTCTCCGGCTGCGTGCGCTGCGGCCTCGAATCCACGGCCTTCACCCTGCTGCGGGTCATGCGGGAGCGTGACGTCCCGCTCAGCGGCTTCGCGCTCGCCAGCCTCGTCACGGCCTGCGAGCACCGGGGCTGGCAGGAGGGCGCGGCGTGCGGCGCCGCCATCCACGCGCTCACTCACAAGGCGGGGCTCATGGGGAACGTCTACATCGGGACTGCGCTCCTACACCTCTATGGCTCCCGTGGGCTCGTCTCGAATGCCCAGAGACTGTTCTGGGAGATGCCTCAGCGGAACGTTGTTTCTTGGACAGCGCTCATGGTGGCATTGTCGTCAAACGGGTGCATGGAAGAGGCATTGGTAGCCTATCGTCGGATGAGGAAGGAAGGGGTTACGTGCAATGCGAATGCATTGGCTACGGTGGTCAGCTTGTGTGGGTCACTTGAGGATGAGGCGGCTGGGCTTCAGGTCACAGCCCATGGCGTGGTCTCTGGCCTTCTGACCCATGTTTCAGTGGCAAATTCGCTTATCACCATGTTTGGGAACCTCAGGAGGGTGCAGGATGCGGAGAGGCTCTTTGATCGGACAGAGGAGCGTGACCGTATATCATGGAACGCGATGATATCCATGTACTCGCATGAAGAAGTCTACAGCAAATGCTTTATGGTACTTTCAGATATGCGTCATGGTGGAGTGAGGCCTGATGTGATGACTCTGTGCAGCTTGGTATCTGTCTGTGCCTCATCGGATCTTGTTGCCCTGGGAAGTGGGATTCACTCCCTGTGTGTCACCAGTGGTCTGCATTCTTCTGTTCCACTTATTAATGCCCTGGTTAATATGTATTCTGCAGCTGGGAAATTGGATGAGGCAGAGTCTCTGTTCTGGAACATGAGCAGACGGGATGTAATATCATGGAACACTATGATTTCATCTTATGTGCAGAGTAATAGCTGTGTTGCAGCATTGGAAACATTGGATCAGTTACTCCAAACTGATGAAGGTCCACCAAACTACATGACATTTTCCAGTGCTCTAGGAGCATGTTCAAGTCCAGAAGCCTTGATGAATGGCAGAACAATTCATGCCATGATATTGCAGCGGAGTCTTCAGAACATCCTACTGATTGGTAATTCTCTTCTGACAATGTACAGTAAATGCAATTCTATGGAAGCGCGGAGAGAGTATTTCAGTCAATGCCATGTTATGATGTTGTTAGTTGCAATGTGCTTACTGGGGGCTATGCAACACTGGAGGATGTTGCAAACGCAATGCGTGTGTTTTCTTGGATGAGGAGTACCGGGATAAAGCCAAATTATATCACAATGATAAATCTCCAGGGCACATTTAAATCTTCAGGTGATTTGCACAGTTATGGAATGCCACTGCATGCTTACATAACACAGACTGGATTATTATCAGATGAGTACATTACAAACTCATTGATCACAATGTATGCAACCTGTGGTGATTTAGAATCTAGTACTAATATATTCTGCAGAATCAACAATAAAAGTGCCATTTCCTGGAACGCCATCATAGCTGCCAATGTACGGCATGGCCGCGGAGAGGAAGCTTTAAAGCTCTTCATGGATTCACGGCATGCTGGAAATAAACTTGATCGTTTTTGTCTAGCTGAATGTTTGTCATCCAGTGCAAGCTTGGCATCATTAGAAGAAGGCATGCAGCTCCATGGCCTTAGTGTGAAAAGCGGGCTAGATTATGATAGTCACGTTGTTAATGCTGCAGTGGATATGTATGGGAAATGTGGAAAGATGGATTGTATGTTGAAAATGCTGCCTGATCCTGCCTGTCGGCCTACGCAATGCTGGAACACATTGATATCAGGTTATGCAAGATATGGCTGTTTCAAGGAAGCTGAGGATACGTTCAAGCACATGGTCTCAATGGGGCAAAAGCCAGACTATGTGACATTTGTTGCTCTCCTCTCAGCTTGTAGTCATGCTGGTCTAATAGACAAGGGCATGCATTACTATAACTCTATGGTACCTACATTTGGTGTTTCTCCTGGAATTAAACATTGTGTTTGCATAGTGGATCTCCTTGGGCGTTTGGGACGATTTGCAGAGGCAGAAAAATTTATTGATGAAATGCCAGTCTTGCCAAATGACCTAATATGGAGGAGTTTGTTGTCATCAAGTAGAACCCACAAAAATCTGGATATTGGGAGGAAAGCGGCAAAGAATCTCCTTGAATTGGACCCATTTGATGACTCAGCTTATGTTCTTTTGTCAAACTTATATGCTACAAATGCAAGATGGTTAGATGTTGACAAATTGAGAAGTCACATGAAGAGTATTAAGTTAAACAAAAGACCTGCCTGCAGCTGGCTTAAGTTGAAGAATGAGGTGAGCACCTTTGGTATAGGTGACCGGAGTCATATGTGCGCAGAACAGATCTATGCTAAGTTGGATGAAATCTTGCTAAAGCTCAGAGAAGTAGGTTATGTCGCTGATACCTCATCTGCACTACATGATACGGATGAAGAGCAAAAAGAGCAGAACCTTTGGAACCACAGCGAGAAGCTTGCATTGGCATATGGGCTTCTTGTTGTGCCAGAAGGATCTACAATAAGGATATTCAAGAATCTCAGGGTCTGTGCAGACTGCCATTTGGTATTTAAGCTGGTTAGCATGGTTTTTCACAGGGAAATTGTTCTGAGAGATCCTTACAGGTTCCACCAATTCAAACATGGGTCATGCTCATGTTCAGATTTTTGGTGAGAGTCATACAACAATTACAAATCGATCCCTGCTTGTCAATTTCTCTACTAGTTCTTCTGGGTAACTCTTTCGCCTCCTTCAATTTCTTTTAGCAATATATTGATTCCTGAATTAGGATTGTGATCGATCCATAATATTGTAGCAGTATCATGTGCAACTTCTTTTGGCTGTCGCCAGCCAACCAAGGTGACCTCTCGAACGTCGTCCGGGCCTCACCGCCATCAACTGCCAGCCACTCCTGCCCCAACCGTCTGCGCCCATGGGTCATGGACTCATGGTGCCCCCATCATCTGTCAGAGTAAGAGGAGCTGCTGATGTAAGGCCGATTGTACTTCGTTGACACGATCATGATGAAGCGCACTACAGTTGCAGCGGCAGCTGGTGCACGGCAATGGTGGCTGCGGCTCATGCTGGAAAGCAATAATGGCTGCGCTTGACACCGATAGTATCAGTATCCATGATGCATAGGTGCTTGAGATCATGCTGCCTTGTGTCCACAGAACATCCTGAGGCAAAGGGTCTACCAATTCCTAACGCTAAACCCATATCCGGTCCTCAGCCACAGCTGTGCGCTTCCAGCTTCGTCCAGAGGGAAGATGAGGTCCCATACTGGACGAGCAACCTGGACATGGCTATGGCCCCTCAGCCTCATGCCCCGGCAATAATGCGAAGGTCTTTATCATTTATTTTTTTTGGAAAGAACCTGTATCATATTATTAGTACTTTGCATGATCATTTTTTAGTTTATTATACTTTGCATTAACATAATTGCACGTGCATGGTACGGTGTCATAAGAAGAGATTGCATGACATATAAGCTTATCATATCCTATGGTGTCATAGGAAGAGCCAAATGCCGAAGGTGGTGTTCATCCCCGCGCTGATGGCCACACCGGTGGTGGGCGAGCGGCCGAGCAGGAGCGGCGAGGTGGTGGTGCCCTCGGACAGGCGGAGGGCATGCTCGTCATCACATACACGGCTACATGACTAGGGATGAAAGTGTGTGGATAGTTCTCCGCTCTGATCCTAATCCGAATATTAAAGATATGGAGAAAAACTTTTAATATCCATGCGAGATATGGATAATCCTAATCTAATTGTGCACCGATGCGAAGTAGGATATGGAATTGAAAAAATCCGGTGGATATGCAAATTCTGTGTAGCGATGTTTAAAATAGGATATCCGATAATTTCTATCACTAGTCTAATAACTAGATGAATTCAAGATTTAAAAAACGCTTGTTAGTTGAGAACTCTTATTTTGTGATGGGTTTGTTTTATGTTCTGAACTTTTGAATTGAGAACTTGTTGTCTGTTATTACTTATCGGAAATGCTTAGGCTCGGGCGTCGATCGCCTCCTTTGGTGGGCTGCGATGCCAACCTGAACCAACCTAAACGGCCCAACACTTCACTGTGCTTGCTTAATTGAGAATTGTTCGTTTCCTCAAAAAAAAACTGAGAATCTTTCAGCCAATCCACTCCAGAAACAAGACCAAACCATAGCATCCACTTGTCGAGTTCTGGTTGCCGCGGCATGGTCCACGGCGACCCCTCCGGTGTGGCATTATTCGCTGTGCCCGGCCGCCTGCCTACCTTCATCCTTCCTCTCCACCATACTTGAGCGTCGCCGCATGGCTTCTTCCCTCTCCACCGTGCTCACCGATTGATGTGTGTGGTTTTCATTCTGCATCACGCCCTCGCCTGCTTCCGTCCCTCTCTGGCGGCAGCTCACGCTAGGAGTGGTGACCAATCGGCCTTTCCCTCTCTTTGTCTCCATGGCGCCCGGTCCGCTGCCTCCCTCGATGACGGTCTCCAGCAGTGATGCGTACAAGATTGGGTAGGGGTGACTCCCCCAGTAGAGGCGAGTCCCCCAGGGGCGACTCCCCTAGTATTGGCTACGATGACGGTGGTTAGGATGTAGATTTCCGGAATCGGTCGTTCCCCCACTCTGTGTTGCGTCGTACGGAAGAAGGATGAAAACCGCATGTTGCAAGAGTATGTTTCAAGTATTTCAGATGTTTCAGAGGTATGTTACAAGTGTTGTATATCAATGTTGCAAAAGTAGATCGGGATGTTGCACATGTTGTAATAGCTATACACGTATGTTTCAAGTGTATGTTGCAAGTGTTTTATCTGTTCCAAACGTATGTTGCAAGTGTTTTATCTGAATGTTGTAAAAGTAGATCTGAATGTTGCATATACATGCATGTTGCAAGCATATGTTTCAAGTGTTTTAGGTGTTTTCTACGTATGTTTGCAAGTGTTTTATCTAGAAGTTGCATATATTTGTAATGGTTTTTAAATGTTTTTAGGCGTTTTCGTAAATATTGCATACACTTGTTTCAAGTGTTTCATCTGTCTTCTTTTATATTCCCTCTGTCTCGTTTTAATAGTCGTTTTAGCTTTCAACCTGGTGCAGCGAAGATTCTTTGGACCTGGAGGATGTTGCGTGACAGTGAATGTAGACACTTTACTGCAGTGTTAGAACGACTATTAAAACGGGACAGAGGGAGTCTGTTGCAACTGTTATATCTGGATGTTTCAAAAGTAGATCGGGTGTTACACATGGGATTCGCGTGGGAAGCGGCTGGCGATGTGGACGACGTTCGGGGTTGGCGCGAGCCCACTGCAGGTGCGCTCGCTCGTGAGCCCGACGCGCTAGGCGCTCGCGAGCTCCCTGTGCAGGCACCGTTCGGACGCTAGCGCCCGGATCGGACGTTCAGGCGCTAGCAAGTCCGATTACTTATTGCTAATAAATTAACATTTGTGTCAATACATTACTAATAAAGTGTCAATGACAAATTATTGTCTATCGCTTGCTATTGGCTATTTAAAATTAATTTTTGAGAAATATATAATTTTTACTCGACTATTCAATTTTGTCTCCGATCTGATTTTGCTCTATCTCTGTACCATTTGCGACATCCGAAAAAAAATCTACATTCACATCCGCATTCGCATCGTGTATTATCTGCTCCGATATGAATTCGACAAAGGGCAAATTAGGATATGGGAGGCATTATCCGCTCCTATGCAAACTGGCAAAGAAAAGCATACTAGGATATGAGAGGCATTCAGCCTATTCGCTTATTGGTTTCAGCCAGCCCAAACCAACCAGCCAATAGTGTTTTCCTCTCACAATAAACCAGCACCAACCAACTTAAACCAGCCTAGAAACCAACCAGCGAACAGGCCGATTGTCTGATTCGTTTTCATCTCTATACACAACTACACCTTACCACAACCACCCTGAGCCCTGCAGTGCAACACGCTCGCCAGCTTGACCAGCGCAGCTTAACCAAGCTGCGTTGATATGCTAGACGCTAGATCCTGAACTCTAAACGGTTAGCAACCATCCGTTTATGGTTTATATTGATTGTATTGTATGGTTTAAACGTTTTACACTTTAGTAGTAAATATGCATACAGAACTATAAATACTATAGTTTCACGCTACCTTTTTTTTTTCCAAGTGCAAGCTGAGTCATACACAAAGTTGCACAATTATACAAAGGGCAATAAAGAATTAGTCATACATATACACATAGCAACATACTTACATAAACAATTAGATCTTAAATATATAGCTCTCACATGAATAAATGCCATTGCATATTATAATTGACGAAGACACTCATTTCTTATATTGACAAAACACATGTCACAATAGTCTACACTTAGCTATTGTTTAAGTGCACTATTTAAAATGTTTTAACCATGTTAATTGTCTAAACAACTTTACCGAACAAAGTGAATACTCACCAAGAGCCATCACCATCGTCAGTAAAATCCTGGTCCAATGCCCACCCCACCATCACACACCAACGATGTCGTCTCGCCGACAAGGCGACGTTGCTACGCCGGGCTCCATCATCAGTTCGTCACGACCAGTGACCATGCAAGCGAACGCTAGACCAGCTGGTCTGGCTGTGCGCTTTGCACCATGCTGGCTAGAGTTCGAACCCCTTCGGGGCGGATTTATTGGCCGGAGGAGGCGTAGTTTATCTGCGCGTTGAAAAAAATTCTCTCGTCTGCCCAACGCCAAAGCACGGGTCTAAGGCCAGCCCAGTCTCACGGAAGCTGCGGTGCCACTGTGTATGGGTGGGATAGAGGTTCGGGGGATTTGTTGGCCAGAGGAGACGCAGTTTATCTGCGCGTTGAAAAAAAATCCTCATCGTCTTCCACGCGCCAAAGCATAGGTCTAATGGCCACCTAGCTTACGGGAGCTACGGTGCCGCTATGTATGGATGGGGTAGAGGTTCGGAGGTTTTCTCGATCTGTATGAGAAGGTCTTCTTCTTAAGCATAATGCCCGGGGCTATCTTACCCCGTAGGTCGAGTTTTTTTTTTTTTTTTTTGTCACGACCAGTGACCATCACCAATTCACCAGCTGATCAATGAGGTGCTCGACATGGATAACCTATCAGTCTATCACCAATCCGGGCTGCTGCTGAATCATGGTGTTGTCTTCTGAGCCTATCCTGGCCTCCTGGACATGTTTGCACCCTAACATCTCGCATGCCTCCGACTTGCACCTACAAATCCTATCCTGATATTTTTTATGTACAGTTTCATTAGTCTCTTGTGTATGCAGCACCTAGTACTGTCTATTTCACTCTACAGGTAGCCTTTATTTTGCCTTTTCATTTTTAAATTGAAGGATCCCTGACCTGTTAATGTAGTTACCAAGAGGGGAAAAGGCCGCCGTAGTCAGATTTCTTCTACTGTGGATGATTGTTAGATATGCGCTCAAAATCAAAACAACTGGAGCTGAAGAAACACTCTCAAAATTAACTTGTCTAGGATGACTAAACATATTAATTTGCAAATTCATACACTCAATCTGTCACTTCCATCTCACAGAATGCATTAGTCCCTCTTTAGATAGTCTTCCGCACCAATTCCATATCCAGAAATAACATTCATATCCCACCAGAAGGCTCCGTACCAAAAGGATTGCAGTAACATCACTGCAAAACTAAGTCAGCAACACAACCATAGTAACAAACTTTACTGGGCACAGCTTCAGAAAAGTAGCAAATTATCCACTAAATTCCCACATCAAAACTACCAACAAAAAAATATAGCCACTGGATGTTCCAGAGCTTTTTATTTGCTGGCAGCTATTTCCGAACTATATTCTGATGATGAGTTTCTCTCCGATTGTGTGCATAACAGAATGCGGTGCAAATTTATATCAGCTACATTTGCAGAAAACAAACGGCTTCTTATCAGTGTCTGAACAGATGAGATAATGAGAGCACAGCATCTGAATACAATGCATCATATGACAAAAGCAAGTATTTAGTCCATGGAGACTCCAGCGTTTACAAACGAGATGCAGCGGTTGGCAGTCAGTATCAGTTAACTAGTTTTCCATGCCAAACTCTGCTATGTCTTTCTTCATTTCCTACCCACAGAAGTTGAGCTTCTTTATAACTTTTGCATAGGCCAAATGCACCAAGGCTGGTTTCCGAAGTCTTCGTTTGGCCTCCTTAGACTGAAACACCACGATTCACAAATTAAAACGTTTAACCAACTTTATGATGTATAAATGCATTAGTGGTGAATGCAATTATGAGCAATGCCAACTATCTTTATAAGACAAGAGTGTGAATGTGTTCTGACAGTTTTCACAATTGCAAAGAAGAATCAAAATAGACTGGAAATGAGTATGCTTCTACTTTACAGGTCTACAACAGAAAATGCAGCCTAAGTAGATTCAGTGTACTTTGTTAACAATTAGACAAGTTACTGCTTCAAGTTGCAGGGCAAGGAATAGATATTCTATGAAGTGCTCAACTTGATTTGTGCTGGAGATCAATTACACTATATCACATAATAGGAGAAACTAGTAGATGTATATTCCATGATTCCATCAAATACAGGTATTTTCCAATTATGCTGTACTGAATACCCATTAGAAAGCATGTTTTGTTTAACTAAATAGTATAGTAAATGAACACCATTCCTGCCAATACAATTATC